TACAATACACAAAGCCAAAGATTTAGTAATTCTAAACAAAATCTGAGATTGAGAACATGCGTCTCTAAAACGTGGTTGAACCAGTTTGCTTGATGAGTTTTGATAATGTAGATGTCTTCAATTCGACGCAGTGAACCCATTGCCTAGGTCTTGAACCTCAACACTTGAGGTATTTGTCGTCTTTTAATGACTCAGAAGTAGTTGGGAGTAGATACTGCAGCGGACATGAAACATGTTGACTTCTCACATTAATCAAGCATGTACAAGAGTCCACAGGAAAACAGCGTACGAAAACAAACCCCCCGGTCCCCCACACAAGTTAATGATTGTAAGAACGTCAAAGTTGAAAGCTCAATGAGACCAAAGACATTTCTCAACGCCCGAACTTGACACAAAAAAAGAAGACCGGGTTTTGTCGGTACCTAGTAATATCCCAGGCAAAATGCTAGTTCCAATAGAGAAGCCCAGCAATCATTGATAGGAGCACAGAGTTAACAACTTACCATTCAGGGCCATTTGGCGCACTGACACGATCGCGTGAGCAATAAACAGCAGCTGACATGGTACCAGACACCAGTGCTAGTAAAGAAGTCCGTCGGAGTCCTCCGAACCGTGCCTTGCCGCTCTATCTAGCAGCTGTACTAGGATAGGAGCCCCGCGTTCAAGCCTCGGCCCCACGTCATGCAGGCCCTCATCAAAAGCACTCAGCGCGACGCGTCGCCCCTCCTTTCCCCCCTTTCCCTTTCTTCTTTGCCATGTCCTCAACCCAGATACCCAAATTCAGCCCCGGAGAAGCTGTGCAAGAGGAGAATGGCTTGATCCACGGCGTCTCGGCCCAGGAGTTGCAGATCCTGGGCGAGCAGTGCTTTGATGCGCGCGAGAGAGCTTATTGTAAGTGATTTGGATACAATTAAGGCCATGGTGTATATGTGTGAAAGAGGGAAATGGAGATAGATAATGGCGCTGTATGCTGATACAAGCAATAGGCCCATATTCTCTCTTCCGCGTTGGCGCCTCCCTCCTGCTCAACACCTCGAGCCCGACCGCTCCCTCCGCAACCCACGTTATTATCGGCGCGAACGTAGAAAATGCATCGTATCCCGTCGGTACCTGCGCCGAGCGCGTCGCAATGGGTACGGCTGTCCTGGCGGGCCATCGCTTGGGATCCTTCAAGGCCGTTGGCGTAACCACAGACATTGTCGATTTCTGCTCGCCATGCGGAATGTGTCGCCAATTTCTGCGAGAGTTCTTGGAGCTAGATACTCCTATATTCATGTTCAACAAGGAGGGCAAGTGGATTGTTCGCACAATGGGCGAGTTGTTGCCATTGAGCTTTGGGCCCAATGTTTTGCCCCCGCGAGAGGAGCTCAGGAAGGGCCAGGAGGAAGACAAAGCGAAGAAAGCTTAGAATGCATATCTTGTAGATGCATTGAAGGTGTTGGTGTATTTTGCCTGACGGGAGTCTGAGAGGCGTTGAGCATGCAGGTATTAGACGAGGTCCTATGTTAGACGGAGTACAACATATTGTACCGCGGAGCCCAAGTGCTCAGAATATCCAACATGTATATATCGTATTTCGCCTCTCATTCTTCTCATTTTCCGCCAAGCCAATATTCTGTGCCTTGCCCCACTGAGAGCTTTACCCCCGCGGAATTCGAAGCCAAACACCTTACACATGCGCCCCGATAAGGGCTTCAGATAAGAAGCTCCCCTGCCACACTGTCTGCACCGTATCGCATCTCCGCGCCCCGTGGATATGCGACAATGGCACAATCTAGGCTTTCCAGGGAAGTAGATTACTCGATGAATGTCGTCTTCATGACATGTTTGAATTTATCCTGAATATTTTCTTTTCTTCTCTGCTTGTTGAGTTTTGATTGTGTTTTGCGCTTTTCGAAAAAAACAGCGTTTTGCGTATAGTGACAAGATGACACAGAGCAACGGAAGTAGAGGTGAGGGTGTCACGGATTCGGAGCATTTCTCGCCGTATAGGGCGGACGGGAAGCTTGTGAGTCGATTTCTGTCTGTCATCGTTTTAGACAATACGTGTCGTGGGGTTGAAGTAGCAAAAAAAGAGGCAACAGGACTCTTAAAAGTGATGGTCAATCGAATGAAGAAAAGAGACATATACAGCAAGTTTTGAAGAAGGCATCTATCTGACAACTCATGTCTTCGTTTAGTACGGCTTCGTGTGCGTAGTAACCGGTGCAACGCAACCGGTAGGGAAAGCCATCGTCGCCGAATTAGCTGGTAAGCTCCTATCCTATCCCCTCCTTCGACCATTTCTTTCTCCTAAGATCTCAAGTCAAAATGCACATACAACTTTGACACCCCTTCCAGCCCACGGCGCAGCATGCATCTACGCATGCTCCACGCTCCCCTTTGAGCCCGACACCTCACTCGCAGATGATATCAACGCACAATATCCCAACACCAAAATCATTAGCTACCCGTATAACATGGCTTCTGAAGAAGATACTCTTGCCTTGATCGACGACGTGCTAAACACCTGGGGCCGACTGGACGTCTGGACCTCATCCACGGGCCTCCTCGGCCCCCCCTCGATAACGCAGACAGGCCCGAAAGATTTATATGCTGCGTTCGACACGAATGCCCTACCTGCTTTCTTTGCGCTCAAGTATGCGCCTGCAGCCATGCAGAAAACAACGCCAAAGGGAAACTACGCGAATGCTGCTCCGAAGGACGTCGCATACGGGTCCATCGTTGTGGTCACCAGTGTCGCGGGGACATATGGCGGGTGCTGGGCTCCTGCTTTCACAATGGCTTCGCATGCGGCGTTGGGTGTTGTGCGCTCGGGTGTCCTTGTCCTCAAGGGCACAGGTGTGCGCATCAATGCTGTTACGGCGGGCCAGATCGATGTTGGGGTTGACTTGAAAGACTGCGGCGTGAAAGAGATGGCACAAGGTCAGTTTCCACCCGCGAGTCTGCAGGCTGGGGAAATTCAGAAGAGGACGATTGGGTTGGAAAGAGCGGGAAGACCAGAGGAAGTCGGCAGGACAGTCGGATTTCTGGCTAGTGGGTTTAGTAGCTATATTACTGGGGCTGAGTTGAGGGTTGATGGTGGTGCTGGAGTCATGAATCCTATTACTGTGCCTGTCTAGAAATTGGAGCGGAGGAGGAGAATAGAGATCCTTTCTTTAGCACACCATACTCCAACCGTTTACGCGCTTCTAATGCTGCAATACGACGGGTACGCCCTTTTCCCAGTTTTCTATGCTCTCTTTGATGTTGATCCAGTATCGCAATTTCACTGCCTCACTCTTCGCAGTATCTAAGTTATCCTCTTTGAACGCCCTGTCAAGTATCTCTGTGCTCTCCGCTATCCTCTCTTCGTTCCTGTGTCTCATTTCCTCAAGATCCTCCTCTCGCTCCGCCTCCTCGATATTTTCCCTTGCTTCCAAGACCTCCATCAGCAACTCTGGGTCGTCGACCTTGGCGGTCTCATCTTCCGCTACTTCAATACCCCGCTGGGAAAGTAGATATTGTGCCCGCAGTAGAGGGTTTTGAAGAGTTTTGTAGGCTTCGTTTATCCGTGCAGACGTGGCCTCGGCGCGCTTCTTATCTGCTTGAGGATGTAAATCAGGATGCGCACGTGCCTGTAATTGTAGGAATTCGCGCTTGAGTGCGGCAAGGTCGATAGCAAAGGGACCCTTTGGCGGGGGTCCGCTGGGGAGAGATGCGGGGAAGAAGTCATAGTGTGTCTGTGGTACTTGTGTTGATTGAGTCGTCGCAGACTGATTCGTGTCGAAGGGCCTCTCGACCGTAGTCGAGCTGGAGGAGGTAGACTGGAAGCGTCGAAAAGCTACTTGAGGAGCTATGCGATGAGCGCAGAACAGGCATGGTGCAGCGCTCTGTCGGTTGCGCAATGGCGACGAGGCAGCCGGTTCGGACGTAAGTGATGCGCGGATTTTACGCGCCGTGGAAGGTCTTAGGGCGCGCATTTTTGTTTATAGCGCGTGTTTACAGGTGTAGCCGCAATGTAGGTATGGAGAGGTGGCCGGGTAATAAATGTTGTGTTAGGTAGAAATGTAGGAATGAAACATTTCCGCGCCGGAGTTTCGGTCATTTACGTCATCCATCTTCATCCCTCCACTGAAAGGAGCAGTACATAAGTACATGATACTCCACTAGGGATAAAATATCCAAGGTGAGAATCTTTTCAAAAACTTATCATGATAATGTTGAGAGAATTATTAGGAGTCTTATAAAAGCTACCTCTCAACCCAAAATTACAAGTCTTCCTGGAAAACTCGACTTTCTACACGCGAACTCACACCATCATGGCTTCCACAATGATGCCAAATCCCATCCGCATGGATCTCTTATACCGACTGCGTTGGAATTTGTTGACTGACGTACACAACACCGAAATCGTGCTGGGGATTGAAAACGAAGAGACAATCGTTCCGCTGTTCGACCATGCCTTAGCAGATGCGGACCTTGGTGTACCAAGCCTGAGCCATATCGAGGTGAACAGTAGGGAATGCTTGGAAAAGTTTTATCTTTCGTATGATAGTGATGGCGACCTTGAGATGGGTGGCTACCGACCCCCTCCTCCTCTTATAATTAAGAATGAAGATGGACGATCTATTACGTTGAGGCAGTTTGTCACAGAAGTACATGCATATTTGAACGAGCATTTGGAGGAAGTCAAGAAAGCTCAGTGGGTCAGGGCCGCCGAGCCTTGGTCAGAGAATCTTCTGTTCTTCCGGCGTGCCTTTCCACGAAGAGACGATGATGGTAATATTATAGTAAATGTCGAGATGATGGGTCACGCCGCAGATGCTGAGACCAGGGACAAGATGTGGGCCCACCAATTGCGGACAGCCCGTACGTTCAGACGGCATCCTTGAGCTTGTTAGTAGTCTGTTAAATGAAAGGCTGTTGCGCTCATAGTAATTGAACTGTGCAAAAACAAAAAGTGTTTCCTTCCACACCACCCATGACTGATAGTCAGGTCCATGGAAAGTGCAAAAAATGGGTCTTACCGCGACTCGAACGCGGGGCCTCTCGCAAGCTGTGCTCGGGAAATCCCTAAGCGAGAATCATACCACTAGACCATAAGACCATGCTGTAGTAGCTATTGATGGAAGAAGGACAAAAACTGTCACTTATAATGTAATACAATATTGATCTTTGTGGTTACATTAGTGCATGGACCCAACTCCATGCCGTAGTGGGGTGGGGTGGTACGGCGGTGGGGCAGCCTGAATCATTGTCACAGCATCATCTCAAAGCTAGATCCCGTCCAGATCCATAGCCTGCATTGCACATTTGAGCCATGCGCATAGCCACATTGCATAGTTCTACTTCCTAGTTGTCGCCACCTTCATCGGATGTTTCGATTGATACGTCAGATGCACTACTGCAAGGGTCGTGCCGGCACCTTCCCCCGTCATGAACGCAAACGCGCCTCGTAATTTCATACGACTTCTGTCCCATTCTGCAAGCTTCCACTCAATGGGTTGAAGCGTCCAATGGCTATCGCTGCACTGTCACTACCTACGCTAAATCATACGCAGCCCACGGTAAGGCACCATGGTGAGACTCTGCATCTCTGAAGGTAGGTGCACACAGGATGGGTACAAGCGCGTCATAGCCATCTGACTCAAGTCTAGGTGAGGGTCAACATCCGCTCACACGCAAACGTCCTGGCGCTCTCCCTGCGCAGCCTGATCTTATTGCATCGCCATGGAGGGGTTCAATCGCTGCGGTTGGCTGTACTGGCTTGCTTGCGCTCGTCGGCCGCTCACGTCCAGGCACGTTTCTTAGGTGCGCGGCCTTCTTCAGCACTGTCGATCTCACATATACCGCTGCGGAATTATATGGGCGACGTGAAGTGAATAGAGGGGTGTTCAAGATGGACAAGATCACGCCAGAACCCGGCAAGCTGTGGGAGAGATCGAAACACTGGACTACAGAGGATGCGACTCTGGCCGGAGGAGGATTGGGTGTCCTGATGGCTCTCAATCCGCGCGCGTTACCAGGGGCACATGGGTTCTCGCGATTTTTCGGGGCAGCGACTGTAGGCTGTGCGCTTGGATACCAAGTTGGGCACTCGTTTCTGGTGCGCATCAATCCGCGGTTGCTCGATCTTCTGGATTCTTCAGACAAGGCGATTAGAGTGAGCTTGTATGAGAGGTTGCGAAACAACGACGAAGCTAAGTCTTCCCTCTCTGTCGCTGGCAAGTTCGCTTTAAAATACTACACATCGCCATATTTGCGAATTTTGCGGGATCCTCTGCACCTCGGTAGGACAGGGGAAGCAGGAGGTATGGCTAGTGGACGACAGCGCGCCCATCCCTCGAGGTCATCACCTCACAGCCCAGCGTTGGAATCATCGCTACAAGCAGATGCGAACAAATTCGCTCTCATACAAGTAGAATTTAAATCAAAGGACCTCGCAGGACCGGACATGGAAGCAGGCTATCGAGCCTACAGAGACGACTTCCAGTCCCGGGACGAGAGCAGCATACGAGATTGGTTGGAGCGAATCCAGAGTCTCAAGAAGCAAACTGGTACAGAACTTCATGTCTTGTGGAAAGAACTGGCGCTTAAGGAACATGAGTTCTACCTCCAGCACGACGAAACCAGGGAAAAGGACGTCTTTAGAAGAGAACTGCAATTACTTAACAACATGACATCGGACCTGGTGGCTAGGTACGCGATTCTAGAATACTATGAAGCAGATGCGAACAAGCAACTGCAGCAGATGAGGCAAACAGATTCTATCCCACCAGCCCCGGTTATAGCGCATGAAGCAACACAGCATTCAGAGGTAGCCGCGCAAAACGAGTACCGCGGGCCACAGATTGTCGCGGAGCTGGTGCGGCTCAATTGGTCAAGACAAAAGGAGGTATTATATCACTTAGAACACACAATTTCGCAGTATGAGGCATTGCCGACAGAGGGCATGGGCGCCTCTGAGCAGATCAAGCAAGTGAAGCAGAACGCGGAGGATTTGAGGAGGAATATCGAGGCTACCGAGCGGCTGCTTCGGTGGTTTGAGACAGAAATCCGCAAGGCCGACGAGCAGGTTACCAAATAGAACCTAACCCAATGAATGATACTGGAATATCTGGATTTTTGGTGACGATATTGTCGTTGACATGTTGACCAACATGCACACTGCCTCAGAGCAAGTATGTGAGATAAATACTTCGCTAGCCTAGAAAAGTCTCATCGAGATAGGATATATATTTACAAGTCTATAGCCTACAAAACCGCCTCTTTCTTCTCCTGCGCAACCCCAAATGTGGCGCCTCCCTCTTCAATAAACCTCTTCTCTTCTTCCGTACTCTGCCTTCCTAACGCACCATTTCGATGCGGGTACCTACCAAACCTATCCAGTATTTCTCTATGTTCCTTGGCCGACTTAGTATACCCCTCGAGAAACTTTTGTGTGCCTTCGTATCCATCCAGTCCGTCTACTTCCTTCACAAATTCAGCTACAATGCCGTGCGCAAGATCGTGATCGGACACGTCCTCAGAGTGGATCAGAGGCATATAGAACCACATTCTGTGCGCTGCAGATCGACGGAATATTGGATGTAGATCTGGCCGGGGGATGGGCGATGAGGGTGATAATAAGGTGCGGGAAAGCTGTAGCGCCATGCGGTCGTAGTGCTTATAAACGAGCGGCAGCTCCGCATTGGTACGGTAGATATTCCTGGGCATCTGATCGAGCAATAGCGCCATGCTGAGTGCTGTCCATGCTGCTTCCTCGCCATTCTCTGTGCTGGTCTGCTCGGCGATGCGGTGTAGCTCGTCCACGAATGGCTGTGCAGTCGCGGCTGGGAAGGCATCTGGGCCAATGGCTTCCAGGGCGTGTGAGAAAGATCCTCTGCATACTTCGTCGAAGGCGGCTCGCTCCTTGGGTGTAGGAATAAACCACCGCGTTACGATACTGTTGTGAAACTCGTGGCCGCTGGTGCCTAGGTCTTGGAACCATGTTTCTGTCACACGGTCGTACAGCGTGCGATTGAATATTGAGGGGTTGAGATGGAAGTTAGATGACGTAGACATGGCACATTGGTACAGCGGTTGGAGATTTGATGAGCGAATGCGGGAGAAGTGCGGACTAGACGGAATGGAACGCAGAAGCGTAAAGACTGTGAAGCGGGTAAGCATTGCCGCTTTGTTAGCTACAGTATCAAAGGCATTTCCTTCTTATAAGGTTTGCGCCGAGATCGTCGCATGATGCGCGCTGGATCCAGATCAGACGCTGTTTCCGCACTTGCTGAAGGATCAAGATGGGCTTCGGTGGTTTCGGGAGCCGATCGATGGGACTGCTGACAAAAAGCTCGCTACAATTCTGACATTGATGCGGCACGACTGCCGCCTTCGCACATCTTCGTGAACATGACTTTCATCGGTCTGTTAATCATCTGGATGTTCGAATCTACTGTACTCGAGAGGGTGCGGGAGTGGGCTGCGCTAAAACACTTTGCATGTCAAGCACCCACTCACGCCCAGTAGGATGCCATTGTAGTTACCCCATCACCCCGGTACGGTCCGGATAGGGTCCAGGTTGGGGTAGGGACTCGTGGGACTATGGATAGAAGACGGCTTAGCTTGTCAAGCCTTACTCCGCATTCCCCTCACTCATCTATTTGCACTGTACTTGGGGTTCGGTAGTCCAATTATGTGGGGAACAGCCTACAAGATGGATATCAAACATCGCATGCCTCGCAATACAACACGAGCCTTTAAATATAGTCGATAATTACCGAATCGAAAATTCTGAACTCAAGAGCTCTGTATTGTTTAATGCGCTCTATGCCTGCCTCTTCAACCCGCACTCGAAGCCACTCTTAGCCCCACATGTACACCCTTGCCCTCGTATCCTTGCTGCTCGTGTCCTTCGTTATCTATACACGTTATAAAAACAAACCACCCGCGGGTACCAAAGCTGCACCTGGTCCCGCTGGGCTTCCACTTCTGGGAAATGCACATCAACTCGGCCAGCAACCGCACCAACAAATTACAGCTTGGGCTCGAGAATATGGCGAAGTATACAAGATTCGTCTGGGCTGGAACGACTGGTACATGATATGCTCGCCCGATGCATGCAAAGACATACTCGACAAACAGTCTGCACACACTAGCTCGCGATCGCCACTCCCTGTATCTGGAGATGCGCTGAGCGGGGGAATGAGATTCTTGTTCATGGAATATGGGCCGGAATGGCGCAAGTTGAGAAGCATCAGCCACAGGCTGCTGACCCCAGCGGTCAGTGCCACGTTCAAACCAAGTCAGGAGTTCGAAGCGAAGATACTTCTTGAGGAGATTTTGAATGGAGCAGACGAAAAGAGCGGCAACGAGGTTAGCTACAAAGCCATCAGAAGATATACTGTCAGTGTCATAATGACAAGTACCTATGGCCGGCGTATACCGCAATGGGTCAGTGGGAGCCTTCAAACGAAACCAGTACGAATGAAACTGACAAAAACAGGACTGCAATGAGGTTCATGGCATCTACGGCATCATGAACGATTTTTCCACCATGGCCAAGCCAGGCACATACCTAGCTGACACCCTCCCTTTCCTCGGTAAACTCCCGCCGCGTCTACAGTGGTGGCGCAAAGAAGTCAAACCATACTTTGAAAAGCAAGCTAACCTCTGGATGTCCTTTTGGACTACGCTGAAGATACAGATGGAAACCAAACAAGCTCCCGAATGCTTTGTCAAGCAATTCATTGAAAGTGATTACGAGAAGCAGGGAATCAGCGAACTGCAGGCTGCCTTCTTAGCAGGTAGTATGATTGAAGCGGGGAGTGAAACAACATCTGCAGCACTCAACACAGCGATTCTTTACCTTTCCGCCAATCCCCACGCCAGGCAGAAGGCATTTGAAGAAATCCAGAAGGTGGCGGGATCTACACGATCCCCAACATTTGAAGACGAGCCCATGTTACCGTACATCCGTGCCATTGTCAAGGAAACACTGCGGCTACGACCCGTTACCAACATCGGCACACCTCATTACACTACCGGGCCCGTTACCTACAAAGGGATATATATTCCTGCGAATTCGGTTGTTTGCCTGCAACAGTACCCCATTCATTA